GGGCCTCGTCCAGGGCTTCATCGGGGCCTCATCCAGGGCCTCGTCCAGGGCGTCATCCACAGCCTCATCCACGGCCTCATCCTCGGCCTCATCCAGGGCCTCATCTATGGCCTCATCCTTGGCCTCGTCCAGGGCCTCATCCAGGGCAGCCCGCTCCCTGCTGCATCCGGGGGGGGGGCATGCGGTCCCAGAACAGGCCTCGGGGGCTTGGCCGCAATGACGGCCCTGGGGGTGGGACCACAGCAACGTTGTTGGCTTGATGCCACCTGGTCCCCTTGCTGCGGAAGCTTCTAGGCCCACTCAGCAGACTGCGCTCTGCATCCGGGGGCCTCTCCGACTTCGGTCTCAGAGAGCAGAGCCTTCCGGGCTGGTGGCTCACGTGCACCTGTGGGTGAGGTGTGTCTGAATTCACGGCCGGGGAGGGCAAGGGTGGGCAAGCAGGCCTGTTCCCGTCGGGGACCCAGCTCCCACAGTCCAACGTGCCCCCCCCACCGGCTCGCTCCTCACGCTGAAACACCCCAGGCCCGTGAAAGCTTGCTGCAGGGACAGAAGCGCACGTTGTCTTGCGGTGCTGGGGGCAGGCACCTGGCTCGGCCACGTGAGGACGCCCCGAAGGCCTACAGGTGAGCACAGCTGCTCCCTGAACCTTGTGAGTAGAAGAGGAAGGCGACAGCTCCCGTAGGCGCCGAGGCAGGTGCACGGCATCCCGACGCCCGCGTGTCACTGCACCACTGTCACCGACGCTCTTCCACGACAGCAAACGCATCCCATGTTAATGTGTCACCTGCCCCTGCACGGAGGTGGCAGGTTTTTTTTTTAACTGGTTCCGTGGTGTTCTCTCCTTTTCTGTCCCATAACTGATCAGATGAACGAACACCTGAGGTTCTAAACCTTTTGAACTTGTGGGGCTCCTTTGGCTGAATTCAGAGACGCTCTTGTTGGGCCAAGACGTCTAGGCCCATTTCAGGTGTGCACACCTGGTGCCCCAAGCCGCGCTCACCGCCCGGAGCACGTCCCTGTCCCGGGGGCTGCCGGCCTGCGCCCCGCTGCATGCGCTTGTGGAGGCTTCCCACACGCTCGCTGGTCACCAGCATGTCCACGCCGAACCTCCCCCTGTTTTTATTTTTATGTTTATTGTTACTATTGACATAGAGCAGTTGACCTGTTTGTAGGCCACTCTCTGTCCCCTTTGGGAAGTGCCCTAACCCTGTCCTTTATTCAGCTTCTCGTGGGGTTTCCTTCTCTAGTACGATGTGATCGTTGTCCCTCCTGGATGTTAGTGTTTTCTGCATGTTTGTTATCTTTCACCTCTCCATAGGCTAGATGTTGGGTGATTTTCTTTCTTTTCCTTTCTTTCTTTTTTTGCTACATAGACGTTTCACTGATTTATTACATCACATTTATGCATCATTTCTGATACGATTTCATATTTTCTAATAGGACTAAACAGATTTCTCTAATCCAGAGTAGAAAACTTTCATGCTTCTGTTCTCCTAGCACCCTCCAGTTTTCAGTTTGTGCGTTTTAACGATTTATTTATCTGAAATGTATTTTGGGGGAAGCAGTGAGGTTGGCTCTATCATCTATCTATCTATCATCTATCTATCTATCAATCTATCTATCTATCTATCTATCTATCTATCTATCTATCTATCTATCATCTATCGTCTATCTATCACCTATCATCTATCATCTATCTATCGTCTATCATCTATCTATCTATCTATCATCTATCTATCGTCTATCTATCTATCATCTATCTATCATCTATCTATCTATCGTCTATCTATCACCTATCATCTATCTATCTATCATCTATCTATCTATCTATCTATCTATATCTATCTATCTATCATCTATCATCTATCTGTCTATCTATCTATCATCTATCTATCGTCTATCTATCACCTATCATCTATCTATCTATCTATCATCTATCTATTTTTGTTTCTAAGTTGCTTACCAGTTGTCCCAAAATATTTATGCAAGTATCCATCTTTGTTCCTGTTGACTTGAAATGCTACTGTTACAGTAGATTTTATTTCCGGGAAACTTGAGTTGATTTTTAAACACTTGGGTATTTCTCAATGGTTTCGGGACAAAGATCTCTGCTGTGAATGGGCCTCATGAGTCTTGCATGGTCTTCCTTCCGCCTCAGCTCGTCGCTGCCCCACTGCCCCACCGCGTGCACCTTTTTTTTAGCCCTTTGAAGTCGTGCTCTTTCTTGCCTGGGCCCTTTACAGGCTGTTTCCTCTGCCAGATTCCTGTTGGCCTTAAGTGTATCTCGTCATTATCAAATGATGCCTTCTTTGATTTCCAAGGTCAGGTTGGGTTTTCTTTTTCTCTACTACACTTTCAAAGAACTACATAAGTTCCTTTAGAGTCTTTAGTTATAAACCGTGCATTTGTAAGTGTGATATTTGAGGAGCACCTCCCTCCTTTAGCAGGCCGGAAGCTTCTCCCTGCCAGCGATGGGTTCTGGCTGACAGTGCTTATGACTGTATCCCCATCACCAGCCCCGTGGTTGCACAACTGCACACAATAGAGATCTCCTGGTTGCTAAATGAGCAAGTGAATGAATGGATAGACGTTCTCTTTACTACTTTTATTTGGGTACCGGATATTATTACCTGGGTATTTATATATGACATAACAAGAGGGGGTGGTTTACACGCGTGTGCCTCTGGGATATCCGAAGAAGAGGTTTGTGGCCATGTTTGCCTGGGTCCTGACTCTCCTCTGATTTTCAAGCCTGAGTCAGATGCAGATAATTCCTGCTCTTCTTCTGTCTTTCAAAGGAGACGTAGTGATGAGGTCTCATGGGGCCCATGAGGCTCCCGGTTTGGCTACACATGGGGATCACCAGCAGACCCTCATCGAGCCCTGCCTGACGCTTACCCGGTTCTTGAGAGTCTTGCTCCTGGTTCATGAGTCCTGTGACAGATTGGTTAGTTGCTGATGCTGAACCTTATCCTGAAATGGTGAACGTCCTGGTCCTTTGCTTCTCCTGGTTGGAACGGACAGGGAGGAAGAATGATCATCTTCTTCCTCCCGCCAGGCCGCCTTTACGCCTTTGGTTAGAACCAAACTGTCATGTACTGAAGCCATTAGATTGGAAAATCCAGAGTAAACAAGCAGACCCCCGGGAGCACGATTAACGCCTTTGAGAAAAATATTTCTTTTACAAGAAGAGCCGGTCTCATTTGCCTGCACTCATGTGCGATTATACCAGGTGGTTTTGTGGAGTCATGAATACCTGTTGGAATTCCTTTCAGCTACTCTGAAAAATCCCATGATTTATGATTGGTTGATCAGATTGTAATTCCTTCTCCCTGTCCGTAGTTGAGGAGAAGAGGGGTTGCCATATACGAACTGTGATAGCCTCTGACATACACCGGAAGGGAGAGCCCCATTGGTCGTGTGCATCGGAAACAATGGAAGACGGGTCCCGAGGCCCGCCGTGAACCTACTTGTCCCCCATGGTTACTCGCGGTCTTTGCTTGCACAGGGAGGGAGATGAGACCAATGAAATGAGTGATATGAATGGTAAGATTTAGAAATGCTGAAAAGTAAGAGTGGCCCAGGCCACTGTGATTTCTTGCGATCTTCCCAGGGGTCGAGGAGCCACCTGCTTACATGGAAAATTTGCCCCCCTAAAAACACTGGGTAGATACTTTTCAGAGCAAAGAGAAGGAAATGCTTATTTACGATTAAAAGTTGAATTTCGAAAAATATCGTCATGGATGTAGTCGTATGCGTTTGATTGTTAATCTGGTTTTGTCTTTGGGGTGTCATTAGTGGAGGGGACCAAGGCTTGTATGCCTAAAACGTGTTGAGAGAAAGGGGATTTTGGACTTTTTTCGTCATGGAAGGCTCAGGTACCATCAGGTATCATCAGCTATAACCCAGTCAAGCTACCTGGGCTGTGCCTGATAAATCCCGAGGAGCTGTTAAAACTGATTTGGGTTTGTGCTGGAGCTGCATCCTATCAGGTATTTCTTGTCAGTCTCATTGGTATGCATTACCCACGAGCATGTATCTTATTAAATCTAAATCAGATTCTTGTTCAAGGCTCGTCTCACAAAGGTGGTCTTTTTTTTTTTTCCATTTCAGATTTTTTTTTAATTTTTATGATAGTCACAGAGAGAGAGAGAGGCAGAGACACAGGCAGAGGGAGAAGCAGGCTCCATGCACCGGGAGCCCGATGTGGGATTCGATCCTGGGTCTCCAGGATCGCGCCCTGGGCCAAAGGCAGGCGCCAAACCGCTGCGCCACCCAGGGATCCCAAAGGTGGTCTTTTTAATTGTGAAATGCCAATGAATGGCCGTTCCTGGAGGAAGCTTCCCTTTGGCTTATTTGAAAGCGGACGACGCAAAAATGATTAACTTAGGAATCAAGAAACTATGTGAGACTGTGAGGCCTGGAGCCAGTCTCCTTCACTAGATCCCAGTAAGCCCTGAGAAATATGTGCTGTCATTGCAGAGTTCATTTTTCCAAGCTGGACTCTGATATTTGGCTAGGAACTTTCTTTTCTTTCCCTGTTTGCTCTACATAGAATCTGGGGTTGGGGCGGGGAGGGGGTATTAAGATTGACGGAGGAATAAGAGCCCGAGTTTTGGGAGCCAGCCTTAGCACTTCTGGGTGATGACAAATCATGCTTTAGCCAACCCCCCCCTTTTATATTTATTCTCTCTCTCTCATTCTCCATCTCTCTCTCCTTCCTCTCTTCCTTCTCAAGGCACATAAGTGATAGGCTGGAATGGAAGCACGGGCTGTTCGGAAGGTGTTCGCTGTTTGAACGTCTGGATGGCAGCCGGACGACAAGGTGCTTGCTCTTGGACCCTTGATGGGGAAGCTACAACAGGGAGACCTTCCCTTGCTAGCCATTGTCAGCGCCAGGCCTCTAGTGTGTGTTCCAAAGGACAATTTACAACATAATCGAAAGGGAGAGCAGTGAAGAGTTGTCCGCCGTGCGAGCCTAGCACCATTATGCGTCTGGATTGTGCTTTCTAAGGAATGGGGTCTTAGAGCTGCCGTCCGAAACAACATCAAGACGTCAGCCTGAACGGCCGGATGAGTTCGCGGCGGGAAGCTCTCTTGATAGAAACACGTTGTTAACTTCGTTGGCTCCCGCCTTTCGTGAGGAGAGCCATCCGAAGAACTTCAGTGCCATAGGTACTACGTACGTGTTCCTCTGGGCCACTTCTCTTGTCAGTATCCGCACCTGAGAAGAGAATGGCAAGGCAGACGTTTGGGGAGATTTGGGAGGTGTCTTCAGTGCTCTCTGTTGCTGCCTTCTCTGACCCTGCCGAGGCCAAGCAAACCGCATTCCCCCCTAGACTGAGTTCAGTAGCCCCCAGGTGACTTTCATTCTTTTTTATTTTTTTCAAGATTTTATTTACTTATTTATTTTAGAGATGGGGTTGTGGGAGGGGAGGGGGGGGAACAGAGGGAGATGGGTAAGCAGACCCTGTGCTGAATGCAGAGCCCGATGTGCGGCCCGATCCTACACCCCTGAGATCATGACCTGGGCCAAAATCAAGAATTGGATGCTCAATGACTGAGCCACCTTGGTGCCCCCGTGCTGGTCTGTTCACTCCCCTGCAGCTGGAATCATGGTTCAGAAAAAAACACCCGTCATTCTCCCCCTGGAGAACCATCCAGTGACTTCCTAATCCATATAGACAGATTCACTAAAGCCAAATTCTTTATTATTGCCTCTGAGTATGGCATGCTTTGCCCCTTTCCTACATTTCTCTAGTTTCTGGGGAATATACCTGGCTAATTCCAAGGTCAGGGGCTCTGCGGATCTGAAATCCTTGGCCTGGAATGTGCGCGTCTCCTCTGTGCATGGCTGATTCCTTCCCATCCTTTGGATTTCAGCCCAAAGTTCCCGACCAGCAAAGCCTTCCAGGACCCCTCCTGCGAAGTGGCCCCCACCCCCCTGTATTCAGTAGTACTCCATGCATTTCCCCCAGGTCCCTGTCTGCTTTGAAATTCCGTGTATATTCATTTTCATTTCCTAATTATGTCCTCCACCTTCCTGAAGGTGGGAATCTGGTTTGCTTTATTCGCTGCTGTGAATCTTAGTTTTGACATGGTGTCTGGTCGCAGAGGACACAGGACTACGGTTGAAGTGTCCTATGAGTCAGGCACAAGTGTGTCCCTCTTTTACAGATGAAGAAACTGAGATACGGTGAAGTGAAATACTTTTTTCCAGGTCCCAGATCTACTAAGAGATGAAAACACTGTTTGTTGTATATTAATTGAATGAGTGAATGAACCTTTATTGGTCTAACATATGCCTTCTAGAAGTAACCGTTTTAGAGACTGAAAAAGGGGACCGGAGAATGGGTCGGCTAAAAGGAAAGGTCACGAAATAGATGTTTTTCCAGCAAAGGTGAATGTTCTTCCCTTGCCTTCACTCTCCCATCCCCAGCTGTTTAGCATATGTTTTTGTTTTTCAAACTTTTTTTTTTTGTTCCTAAAAACACTCTAAATTCTGGGATCCTTGACAAAGCCTGACTGTTATGCCAGGTTGAAACTCAGCCACCCATATTTGCTCATTTTGCATCAGATTTACTGTCCAGCAGAGGCAAAACTGAGGTCACTGAGTGAAAACTAGACCCTTGCTTTACAGCATTATGTCTGGGGTAATGTTGAATTCAGAGATTTATTACTCAGTGTTGGTAGGTTGCGGGGAGACCGTTGTGTGATTTATTTACTGTCAGGGCTAAATGATGGAGTTTTTAAAGTGAATGCTATTATTCCCTAAATAAGTTATCACTTTAAAAATAGTTTAGGCCGACTTTACTACCCATTTTAAAGTATCGGTGTGTAAATTCATGGCTTTGGTAATCACACGGAACAACTGTGGCACAAGGCAAAAGTAATGTTATCATCTCTGCCCGGAAGCGGTTTATGTGCAACTGGGGTGTGTGTGTGTGCGTGTGTGTGTGTGTGTCTATTACGACTTTTTTTCCAGTTGTAATATGTCTCTGTGCCTCTGTCCATCTTCCATTTACGTGCAAGTCATGGAGCAATTACTAAAATACGAGTTTTTGAAGGCCAGTGCCATCAGAACTTTGCTTTGTTCCAACTTTAAAGAGTTTGGTCCAAACTCTTTTTTAAAAAACTCATTTTCCGGGATCCCTGGGTGGCGCAGCGGTTTGGCGCCTGCCTTTGGCCCAGGGCGCGATCCTGGGGACCCGGGATCGAGTCCCACGTTGGGCTCCCTGCATGGAGCCTGCTTCTCCCTCTGCCTGTGTCTCTGCCTCTCTCTCTCTCTCTTTCTGTGTGTGTGTGACTATCATAAATTAAAAAAAAAATTAAAAAAACAAAACTCATTTTCCCGTCTCTCTTGATATTGATAATCTCTTGTGTTTTCATTCTTCATCTGGACATCCGTGCACCAGTGCTGATCACAAAAGCCCCTTTCCAATAGAAATTTCAGAAGATTTCTTGTTGTAACTTACAGAGATACTTACAGAATATATTCAGTGAGACAGAAGGGGGACTGTACGAGAGGACAGGTAGCAAGAACGCCCATGTTCTTGACCCGAGCACCTTGGGTGTTAGTAAGCAGGCCGTGTGCGCCTCCCTACCTGTGCGGACACGGTAGCACGGTGAGGGGAGCATCATGCGGGGGTCTGTGCCTAAAGAGGCTCGATGAACTGAACTGTGTGATCTAGTTTCCTGTTCTTTAAATCAGAAGTCATGGCTCCGGAAGCTGTCCCTCAAGAAGTCTTCTGGTGGTGGTGGTGTCAGGCCAACATGCGTGTGGCCCGAATAGCTCTTTTGGTTTCTTGAACATTCCCGTTGGGTTTCCCAAGCCAGCCTCGGGCTCAGCCAGCGGGTCCTCAGTGGCGTCATCAGAGGCGGTGACGCACATGAGAGCCTCAGGCAGTGGCTGTGGACACGCGTCCACCTGATTCGGTGGTTCCTCCATCTGCTCTACAGCTAATGGACGTTGCTGTGAAGAATTGGCTAAATCTTGATTCTCCGCATTTAAAACAACCAACACTAATAGTTGATTCACCATCCCAAATCCATGCCACGTTTTTTTTCTCAAAAAGAATGAACTTTTTACAACGTGTCTTAAGATATCGTTGACTTCGAGGGTCAACAGTGATATGAAGAGGCGCTTGGAAGCAGCAGGCGGAGGGGAAGAGAGCCTTTCACTCCGACTTGGCCTGACCTGTAAGGTTAAGAGAGGAAATAAGAGCATTGGAGCATTTCAGCGGCGCAGGGAGAGTGCGGAGAGGACGGTGGGCACGTGTGCCTGGGCGTGCGAGGGCTCGAGTCTGTTTTCAGGCCTCCTCTGGGTGCGGGTGTGATTCCGAGTGTGTGGAGGAGTCTTTGACCACGTTGACCACAGCTGGGCCTGGCTCTTCCCTTAGCGTCCGGATTTCCCGGGACTCAGTATCGCGACAGACCCGAACGATTGCGGCCCCACCTCTTCTCCAGCTGCTCCTTTACCACAAGCCGGGCCACACTTAGTCCTCTGGTCGCCTGAGAAGATCATCCTGGGTGCCGTCGGTGACGTGGCCGCCTACTTCACTCCGACCGACCAATCACAAATTCCTGGTGTTTCTGCTGGGCTCCCGTCTCTCAAACCTATTCTTTTGTGTCCGCTCACCACTGCTACTTCCAGAAACCTCTTTCTAACCAGTCTCACTGCGTCCAGCTGGACCCCCTCCTGTCCGTTTCCTGTGTGGCGGCTCGACCTGCCTTTCTGCAGCCTGGGGTGCCCGTCTTCTTGTTCCAGCCCCTGCTATCAGGATATCGCCCCGGTTCCCTGCCAGGATCTGCGAGACTTCAAGTTTCCTGGCCGTCTCCCTTCTGCGTTCCTTCCTTCTTCGGTCTTCTCCAGCCCTGCCAGATTATCTACGGTTCCTGAACACGTAGTGTTCCCTTTTGCTTCTGGACCCTCCACTCCGCCTAGGGTGTGCACTCACCATTATCGAAATTTCCAGATCGCCTTATTCCTCTCATTCCTCCCAGCCGAGCCTGAGCCAGGTGGACCTACAGTAAGCTCTGGAGCATGTTGCCTTTCTTTTGGCATCTGCAGAGAGGAGTATCCTTCTCGGGCTAGTCCTGCCCCGGGCTCTGAATGTCTTGAGAGCAGAGAGGGTATTGCTGTTAGGCTCCTGGCTCTTATGCCTGGTCATTAAAGCAGAGACCAAATCAATGTCTTGTCGTGTAAATTAATGAGCCAGGTAGCTGTGTTTGGGGAAATCTTTTCTATTAACCTTATGGTTGTATTGTTATTTTCTTCCCTGCTTCTTTCCCTTCTCCACTTATAGCAGAGAGACTTCTGTGGAAAGGAAGCACATTTTTAATGGCGTGAGTGAGTCTTGACCACATTGAGCACCGCTTGGCCTTTATTTCCCTTAGTGTTTTAAAGACTTGAGTCTAGTTTTCCTGGGACTTGGCATCTCTGCAGGCCTGAATCATCGCAACACCACTTTTCCCGTAGGTCATAGCAGGTTGTGATCGTTCTAAGTTAAGACTGGAGAATTTTACAGGTCATAGGGCACGACGTTAAAGTGCAAATTTCACCTTATAAAATGGAAATAGAGTTGATCCATGAACAGCACGGGTTTGGACTGCATGGGTCCACTTCTGTGCAGAGTTTTTACAGAACAGGACTGGAAGCGTATTTTCTCTTCCTTATGATTTTCTTAATGGCATTTTCTCTTCTCTAGCTTACCTTAGTAGGAGAATATAGCATATAAAACATGTAGCTTATAAAATATGTGTTAATTGACTATGTTATCAGTAGAGCTTCCAGCCAACAGTAGACTCTTAGTAGTGACGGTTGGGAGGGCGTCAAACGTGACACCTGGACTTTTGGTCGTATGGGGTTGGCATTCCTAACCCATACATTTTTCAAGGTTCAAGTGTAATTTCCTTGTTGAGGCTAGGACCAAGGGGAAGGCTCCGAGTAGCAGAAGGCTTAGGAGTAGACCAAGCTTGTGTCAGCTCCCAGTTCTCCCTCTCACTTAGCAGAGCCAGGAGCTTAATGACATCAATCCTCTCAGCCCCAAATCTCATGATGTGAGTCTTGAAATATGTGGCCCCATATGTAGTCACCTCCCTGCCGTGGTGCATAGGATCCCTGAAGGCCACTGCAAGGAAGGCATCTCAGGGACTCATAAATCTTTGGGTTCAGT